CGTAGGTCTCCGAAAACCATTGTCAACTGTGTACCAGGCCCTGTCGGGTACGGCAGGGGTCCATAGACTCCCATGCAAGGCGAAATGGGTATTGGACGAGCCGGATCTTTCCGACGATGCCTGGGAGGAGGTCTGGGACTACCCCTTCTCTCACTTGGTGTCGGTTAGGGACCGGCTCGTGCAATTTAAAATACTGCACAGAGTTTATTACACGCCTGCAAGACTGGCTAGGATCTACCGAGATACCTCCTTCTCCTGCTGGCGCTGCTCGGCACGGCCGGCTGACTTTCGACATATTTTCTGGGACTGTCCGGGGATTGCTAGATACTGGCAATTGGTCACAGAATTTATCTCGCAGGTTGTTGCAATTCCTGTACCACGAACCATCTCGGTGTGCTTGCTGGGGCTTACTGAACAGGTTGCCCCTGCCACTACCATCCGCATAATGACTGGGGTACTACTATTCTACGCTAGCAAGTAAGTGGTCCTGCATTGGAAACGGAAAGACCCTCCGACTCCAGCAGAATGGAGGGGTATTGTTGATGCGTCCCTGCATCTCTACAAAGCGACCTATATTCGCAGAGGATGCCCGCGGAAGTTTGATAAGGTGTGGGGTGGTTGGATTGCCTTAACCTGATATGGGTAGGAGCGGGGGCTGGACTTGCATAGGATAATTGAAGGGCCACTGGAGGGGATAGGGGTTGCCATGTTTTTATCAACCTCTTTCTCAATCGATGATCCCACCATCTACTGATTGACTTATGCATGTGTAGGCGGTTGTGTTGAGCAGCTGCTACGGAATGCCCTGTAGGTACACGCCTGACTGAGTTCCGACAGTTTAAGGGCCCGGCAGCGATCATTACAGCGATCATTACATGGATAATGTTGGACGCTAGGGCATTCCATTCGATTTTATATTGTGTTGTGGGAATATGCTCAGCCCCGGGGCTACTCCTGGCCCTGATGGCTTTCCTATAGATGTATATAAAAAGTTATGTGCAATCTCTTCTTCCCACTCTTTTGCAGATATATAATGATGCCCTCTCTAGGGGCTGTTTACCCCGCATTATGTACGACGCCACTATTGTAATGCCAAAATAAAAAAATCCCCTTTTCCCAGAGTCATATAGGCTTATTTTCCTTCTCAACACTGATGTGAAAATTCTGGCACACAGATTATCCAATAACATTGCATCAATCATACACCTTGATCAATCTGGTAGTTTAAATCCACTGCTGTAAATATCCAGAGTGTTTCTGAATATGCAAGCCCCAATTGACAACCCATAAAACAGGGCCCTGCTTGCTTTAGATATTAACAAGGCTTTTGACAGCATGGAGTAGCGCTATCTTTGGGCCATTCTTTCAGCATTTGGCTTTGACCCCCAATTTTGTAGTTGGTTGTGCCTTATATACCATCACATTTCCCCTAAAATAAAAAATAATGGTTCTTTTTATTTTATTTTTGATCTACAACAAGGTACTACGCAAGGATGCCCTTTATCACCTTTTTTGTTTGCCCTTGCCATTAAGCTCCTTGCGGTTCTCGTTTGGCACTCTACGGATATAGTTGGCGTTAAACGTGGCCTGCAAGAGGAACAAAAAGTATGCAGAAGACACCTTGCTTTTTTTGGCAGATACTAAGTCTTCTTTTCATAATGTTATGCTCCATTTGATTGACTTTGCAAAATATTTAGGCTAATAGTTAATTGGGATAAATCTAATTTACTTCCCATAGACCCTTTACCCACCCCGTTAGCTACAAACATGTCCCATTTGCAGATCCAATCATCTATTTCCTATTTGGGCATACATATATCTACGTGTCTTGCAAAAAATCTCTCACCGTATTTTGCGCTCCATAAGACGCACTTTTTCCCCCCAAAAGGGGGGCAAAAATGTCTGTGCGTCTTATGGAGCGAATCCCTATTGCCCGACACCTGGGACATGCAGTTTTGGGCGCTGGGCGAGTAGTTTTTTTGTACATTCAGCCCTGCTCCGGGCAAGCAGAGCTAAATGTACAGTGGGAGTCGCTGCTCGTTTAATACAAGTGATCTATACAGATCACTTGTATCAAATCGAGCGGCGGCGGTGATCGTGTCCGGTGCCCCACCCCGCTGTGGTTTTCGGGGTCCCCCGCTCCTCTGAGGGACCTGTGACCACGGCAAAGGAGCTTACCATTGAGTCCGTAGAGCAGACGAAGAACATACGTTCTTCCTCTGCTCTGTGAGATCACTGAGACCGTGGCGCTGTAATCGCAGCGCCACCTGTCTCAGCTATCACTAAGTGCAGCTGTCAGAACCGTATCCTCCCTGCGTCCCATGGTTCGGTGCACCTTTAGGAGCGCAAAATACGGTAATTTGAACCCACTACTAAAGAGATTTAAGTCCCAGCGCACATCTTGGGTTAAACTTCCTCTCTCAGTTGCAAGTGGAGTGAATTTAATCAAAATTATATGGATGCTCCAGTTACATAACTCTCCCACATGGATTCCCGGTAAAACTTTTACTCTAATTAACAGCATCTTCAGAGATCCAATTTGGAAACAGAAATTACCTTGATTAAAAGTTGATGTACTAGAAAGGCCTAAAGATTCGGATGGACTTGCTCTCCAAAACGCCTGGATCGACTTTCTGGCCTTTCAATTGCAACATCTTTCTGTCTGGATCATAGTGGGATAGATTCACAATTATTTAATATCCTTTAGCACCATTTGGTTCTGATGAAGGAGGCGTGACCTCGGAAACGCGTCAACCAAAGAATGACTGACAGCCGGCAGGCTAAGTCTGTTTTATGTGATCTGTTCATGCCTGATTTCTATCTCCTTTTGTGAGTACAAATCCAACTGGTTTTTATTCTTGTTCATTAGAAAGGTTTTACATGATGGAGGTGCTCTCTGTGTTTTATATTTCAGTTATGTGGTTTCCCTAACCAGCTAGAGCAGCCCTAAAAGTGCAATACACTGAAGATTTTCCTCTCCCCTCATCACTGACTCATGTTGCTTGCGCTTATGTGCTTATTTGTTTGTCCTTTAGCACCTGTTTGAGGATTTGGACCCTCTTCGTTACTTAGATCGTGATTTATACGCTAAGACGTATTCACAATTCCCCATTTTAAAATTGATATTCAATTCTACTTTAATTGTCCGATGCTACTAAGCTTTCCATGAAGAAGTGTATGTAGGTTAAGTAGAAGAAAAGATATATTGTTTTCTTATGTGTTTTTGCTTTTGTGCTGCAAAATTGAATACGCTTGATTAAATGAAGAAGCATTTGATATATTCGTATACAGTATATACAAGGTTTGTTTACTGGTCCAAGACTTTTTTGAAGTTATGTGTTGATGCAACTGATGGCTTCTTAAACACATATTCTTTATCCATCAAGTGTAGCTAGTATTACTGTTTGTGCTTATTTACATATTACATGGCTTGGCATTTGTAATTCATGAAGCTTCTCTCTAGCTGTTTAATACTCATAGCTTTATGTGATGCTGACACAAAATTCAGATGCAAAGCACAAATGCACTGCACAGTCACAGCAGACTGGCATCACTGAGTTATAGGCTTCATCTGAAAGAAAAATCATAACATTGTGAATTCTCTTTCTTTCTGCGGAGGAGAAACCACTTTCAGGGAGCAACTATAAATTAGTCCAGGTAGACCATCTCTGGATTAAATCTAAATGTACTATATAGATAGAATTTATTTCTGCAGTATCATTTTGTAGAAATGAATATTATTGTTGTGATATATTATCAAAGCAAGGCTTGATATGCTTACAGTTCAATCGTTATTGTTTTGTTAAGTAAATAAATGTATATCAAATATAACTGTAGTAATATGATTAAATTAAACGGTTATTCTGCCCAAAACTGGTTAAACTTTCCATAGATGTTGGAGTGTTAAAGGAGAACTATGGGGTTAAGTATTTTCCCCAATGCGCAATGGAAAAGTGTCCGTAGGCTATTGAGATACTGGTGAAAAAAGCAATTACAGTTTTGCCCTTCTTGTACCTTTCACGTAAAGGAGAACTATGGGGTCAGGGCTTTTCCCCATAGTTCTCCTTAGGGTAACGGGAGGACACAAACTAGCGTCCTCCTGTCACCCTAGGCTCAGTATACAACGAGCTGTAGCTCGCTGTATACTGAGACGCCGCAGCTGAAGCGGATCCTGACAATTGTGCCGGGATCTGCCCAGCTGCATGACCGACAGCTGGCTCTGCCTATCTAGAGGCAGAGCCAGCTGTAACCGCCCCCTCCCCCGTCCGTTCCGCCAGTCAGCGCTGGCGGATCAGAGCGGGGAGGGGGGTATCAAGCCCCTCCCCTGTCACGGCAGAGAGCTGTGACAGGATCGAGAGGTGAGCGAACGCCAGTATATGTTCGCTCACCTCCCGATCTACTGAGCCGACCTGTGACAGTCTCATTGTCACAGGTCGGCTAGAACTATGAGGTGAGTGAAAATCACTCACCTCATAGTTCTCCTTTAAACTACCTAACAATGGTTTATATTTATGTAATGGGATTTATGAGCTTAAAATAACCCTGTCGGCCATTAAAAATCTTAAAACAAAAAGAGTAGGCAACTCAAAGTATCTGCAATTACTTTATTAGGCAGAAAATAATCTTATGCATACCTCTTTGGGACTAGTTTCACCTTATTGTTTAGTTGATTTTGACTAGGCTAGGAAAAGTAAGAGTTTCTCTTGACAGCAGGCCTCCCAGTGAGTGCATACTTATTTTGTTTCCTCCCCTGTCAGCCTGATCCACTACTGCAGCTCTTGAAAGTGCAAATGTTGTCTTGCAAAAAGTGCTTTAACCCCTACCCACGCACCCAGATGACAGCACTTATAAATGAAATGAGTATAAATGGTCAGGAAAATATGCTTTTCTGTTAATTACAATCTGTAAAAAGTCAGTGAAATAGCTAAAATACAATTTCTTGTTATGATATGATTTAAAAAAAATAGTCTAAAATGTTGCTTTTATTTACATTGTTTTAGGATATATTTGATCGGCTTGTTGTTGTGGATTCAGTTGTCAAAATTAACTCCTTATTTAACTATGAGCAGTCCCACATTTTTGGATTAAGGTAAGAATCATTTTCTTAAAGTGTTTTAATTTTTGGAACATGATAGAAGATGTGGCATTGCTATAATGTTAAATGTGTTCTTGAGCATAACATATGCGAGGTAAAAAAAATCTAATGTTTTATTCTATCTTTACAATGAATCCCTCTTTTCACATCAGAAGCGCTGCCTTGGACTGGATTACATCATCAGAGTGCAGAACTAGATTGACAATAAATAAAGAGGAATTTCAGCAAATGTAGACTGTTAGCAGGAACATTTGAGAGTTGTCATTACTAAATTGTGCATGCTCAGGAGCAGTCAACTGCAACCCTTGCATCACCAAGGGTCTGCACATATGATTCAGTGTATAAATTGCTACAAAAGACTGCCACAGACTGCAGACATAATGCATTACAGGAGATAGTCAGAGCATGGAGACATACTGCAGGATCCAGAGACTGGGAACATGTTATGTGGTCTACTGGGCCATAGTGTGGGCACCAGGGACCTGAGTCACTGGTCTAGAAAACGTATGCAGGATCAGAATTGATACTTGAATGGCAGCATTCATGTTTCATGTCATTGACTTACTAGATAGTGAGACCTGGATCAGGATTATAGACCTTGAGTTTTCACCATTAAAACATTTTAGGAAAAGCAGCATATTTCACCCCAACACCCCCCCCCCCCCCCCCCCCCCACTTATCAAGCAAAAAGAAAAA